CTGTTGTATTCGTATTTTCAATCCCGACGCCGGATTTTTTTTATGAAGTAATATAATTTAGTTCATAATTTTACATGATGCTGATTTCAGCCATTAATTCGTTAGATCAGGAAATCCTGTAGAATAAAATGGAACCACGCCAGACCACTGTCTATATACTTTCGTTTCGTCTCGTTCTCTGAAGCCAGTCTCTTTCAGGTTTACTAGAAGGGAGACGCCACCCGATAGTCAGACCATTGTTGCATCCTATATTATACATCATTGCTGATACAAGAATGATATTCACCAAGTTCCATGTTTTCTTTGCTCGTTCAGTGATTGATTACACAATCTCATGGCTAAATCTTGAATACGCTAAGGCAACTTCCTTGTTCTGTGTGATTTATTGACTAATTTTTAGATTCTTTAATAACATCGTCTCAACTGAAAGATCATCTAAAGCCAAGTGAGTCTGTAAGAAGTTAACGAACGAAGGACGTGTAAGGATTTTGCATGAAAAGGACATGTTCATCCCCAGAAGCAGAAATGACCAAGAAGAAAATTTAGTGAGGATATTCGGTTGACTGATCGAGATTTGAACTAAGTGAAAGTGTAAAGCATTATCACTATATCAACCTGCTCGCTCTTCTAGGATGTGACGCCGTGTAATCTGGTAGATCTTTACCAACTCGGAGCAACTTGTTGCCTCTTTCCTTAAGGCAGAAACGTATTTTTTACTGTTCTACTCTCAAGCTTGGGACAGCCGGTCATTCCGAAATGTTGGCAACAATCTACGAGACTACACGGCGTCATATCTAAAAAAAGAGTAAACTTCATGGTCACCACCGTTAGAACCTTGGATCTCTCATTTTTGCTTATGTTTTTCCCAATAAACTACCATGTACACTTATTGTGCTATACGTCCACCCTCCTACAACCTTAATTCAGTTTCATTAATAAAGGTTAAGAATGTGTGCTAATATTCATTACTCGATTTCTTGTCTCCTATTTTTCTAATAGAAGAAAAGAATAAAAATTAAAACACACAAGACATGGTTTTACCTGTTGTTTTATATGGATATGAAACATCCTATTTCATCATAAGTGAGAAACAGAGACTGAAAGTGCGACCAGGGCGCTGAGAAGAATATTCGGACCTAAGTGAGAGAAAGGAACAGGAGGATGGAGAAACCTGCATAATGAGCAGCTTCACAGATGTGAAGATCTGTACTTATTTTGTGGTCAGCGCATTTGACGGAAAACCCAGGCAGAAATTGTAGGATAATATTATAATGAAGTGTGAGAGTGTACACTGAATTAATTTGTCTCAGTCTTGTGAATAGGGCAATGAACCATGGTGCCCATAATAAAAATCGGGGGATTCTTTGATTGGCTGAATTACTGTAACTTCATAAAAACTCCGCTCTGATCTCCTCCATACGGACGCCTGCAGAAGTTTGTTCAGACCGCACTCCGCACAAAGCTGTCGGAGAAGTTGCCGCAACAGCACGGCGATACTGTAATGAGCAAATAGATTCTAAAGGTTTCTGACGGTGGTGTACAAAACTAAGAATTACAGGGCTGTTAGACTTTGCCCATCGTCCGGTAGTCTAAAAAATACTAGAGGACAAAACATTTCGGAAACTGAATCTGTTTCTGTTTTGAGATGAGGGGCTTAGAACGAGCTGACCTCAGTCACTCTATGTTTTTAATACAATCCCAAATAATTCAGTAGCCTTCTGAAGTACGTGTATGATCGTGCAATATGTTTTGAGAGGTTTGCAGTCACGCAAAAATGCGAACTAATGATATTGCACTTCCTAGATAGTCAAGACTGAGCATTACTGCGAAAATCACGGTATCTCTAAACGACCTGAATAAATATAAACAAGATCTAAAAGTGTGTGACAATGCTACATTAGTGCAAATATTATGTTTCCGGACATTATCTATGGTCCTGTTTTCATTTAAAAACAAAGCTCAATAGGTTTTACCTGAAGACGGAGACAGAATCTAGTATTCGAAACGTTGTTTTTAAATAAAAATAAGACGACGAATAATGTCCAGAAACATAATATTTGAATAAATTACAAAAACATTTGGTAAGACGCAAGAACGGAAGAAGAATACTGGTTTTTTATTTAGCGCGTAGTGGGGTGGAGTTCACCGACGTTTCGAAGGACCATACTGTCCTCATCTTCAGGATCCAAGAATAAGACAAGTAAGCAACCAGCAGGAAGCAAGCAGTAAGTATAACGAACTGCGCATATAAAGCTTGTTCCAAGAAGCAGGCCTGCAGAGGAGCTCTGAGGGAACCGGTAAGAACAGAGAAAAGAATAACTAAACCTGGTCCTGAAAATAACCATTGAGTCATGAAACTATGGCGTAAGTCGGGGGAAATTATATTACGTATGGTTTTCCTGCTCGTCTCGTTTTTTTTTTTCAACTCTGTAGATAGAGGAAATACGTTCTTCAGAAATACTTGTGCCTGTCTATCAGACCACTTAGCATCACATCCCAGACGACCGTAATGTTAAAATCTAAATATCTGGATAATTTAATGTGTTACAGTGTTAAATGCGTACAGAAAAATCAAATTGTGCATGTTAGTATTAAAGGAAATCAATACATTAGTGTTTTTTCTTCAAGCAAATGGACTATATTCCAAGCTGTTTACCTATTCAGCTACTTCTACGAAGAAGGGATGGTGTTCCTTTGTAGGTATGATGCCTTTTTGAAAAGAATTATGGAACTTCGCAGTGACTACAATGGGTTTTCTAATAATTCTGTAATAACATTTCTTTCCATCTTGGAAAATCTCCATATTTTTAATAAAAATACCTATAACGAGCGAGTTTCTGCCTGTATATTGTCACGTGATGGAGCGACTATAGACGGGGTTTGGATTGGTAATTAGAATTATTGAGCATTTACATACAGAACCCGTAACTACAAATATCTATAACGCTATTACTAATCCATACAATCTGTAGTTCACTACAGCATGTGCTGTGTCCTCTTAGTCTGTTGTGTTTTCACCAGTCGTCTGGTAACGTTTTTCAAAGCCGTAGATCGCTCAACTTCCGTGTTCTTGTAATTACTGGCCGGCGACTGTCTTAGAACTAACTAAATACTAGACTTGTCCTGCTTATAACACCTTGGCACGAACCGCATAGAAAACACCACTTCCAGCAGTTCTTCTATCGCTGCGCCACGCAGCTGTCGCACGGACCACATAGAGAATACCGCTTCTCAGTCCATTCGTGCGTTTTAGAGTCATTACTTAACGACGGTTCTACATGCTACAATGTAAAATTCCCATTGTTTTCCTTTGCCTTGTTTCCAACAAGTAATTCCTCAGAGGAAACAAATGAAATTAACTAAATATTAATAATGAAATATAAAGCAGAAATTGTTTATATTATTACCAACGTCACGTAGCGACCTGAATTCAGTTTCAGACTGCTACTCTAACAAAGTCACGATATATTTACATATATTACCCTTTATCATTACAGGTACAGTTTACCTATTTTAAGATTAATATATTATATTTGTGTATATGTAAATAACAATATCGGTTCATCTGCTCACGCTTTCTATCGTGGAAACAAATGCTGACAGTAAGTATGTGTGAATACGAAAGTTGAAGAAAGCAGTCTTCTGGGATTTGGCACCGTGTATATGTGGTGTTAACCGACGTTTCGGAGGAACGTATCGCCCCCATCTTCAGGGTANGAAAGTTGTTCGTATCAGGATGTTTGAAAAAATGTACAATGTTTAAGAAAATTTAATTACGTGCTGGATCAATTTATGCAGTGTGATACCTTTAAACCGATTCGACATCAATATCTAATTTCATGCTGATTGACATTCCTTGATCTAACAATATAAATGTAATTAAATTAGTTCACGGGTAGTGTATCTGAAAATGTTTTCCCTCCCTACTTTGGCATCGAAATCTCCTAACAAAATTTTCATAGGGTATTTCGGGAAAGTCAAATCTCATATCCATATTCATTAGCTTAGGTCGTTTATCCAAGGAATCAGTCCAGGTCCGAGGCTTTGTGTTCATTTTCGTAACATAATGATTTTTTACGGTGAGGTCATGACATAAAGATAGGTAACAGATGTTTTGAAAATGTGGCACAGTTCAGATATTTGGGAACAACGATAACAGATCGAAGCCTGATTCAGGAGGAAATTAAGAGGCGATTGAACTCGGGTAATGCTAGCTACCATTCAATCCAGAACCTTTTGTCTTCTCGTCTGTTTTCCAAAAACATAGAAATTAGAATATACAAAATTATAATATTGCCTGTGGTTCTGTATGGTTGTGAAACTTGGTCTCTGACATTAAGGGAGGAACATAGACTGAGGGTGTTTGAGAACAGGGTGTTGAGGAGAATATTTGAACCAAAGAGAGATGAAGTCACAGGAAGTTGGAGAAAACTGCATAATGAGGAGCTTCATAACTTGTACTCTTCTCTAAGTATAATTAGAATGATCAAGTCAAGGAGGATGAGGTGGGCAGGTCATGTAGCACGAATGGGAGAGACAAGGAATGCGTATAGGATATTGGTGGGAAAGCCAGAAGGAAAGAGACCACAGGGAAGACCAAGGCGTAGGTGTGTGGACGATATTAGAATGAATCTTAAGAGAGAAAGGATGGAATTGTATGGATTGGATAAATATGGCTGAGGATAGGGACCAGTGGAAGACTTTTGTGAACACGGTGATGAACCTTCGGGTTTCATAAAATGCTGGGAAATTCTTAAGTAGCTGCAGAATTGGCGGCTCCTCCAGAAGGGCTCAGCTCCATGAGTAAGTAAGTAAGTAAGTAAGTAGTGTATTTGAGCATAAATTTTGTATTGACCTCCTTACGTTTCAAGAATATAATAAACCAATTTAATTTAAAGGTTGCCGCCAAGGCGGCAGCGAGCATATGCGCAGGAGCGGTGCGCGGAGGCAGGCGGGCAGAGCCATTCTGTTTGTTGTGTGTCCGCCATCATAGCTAGCTGCAGTTCTGATGAGGAGAAGTTGGTGATAGAGTGTAGTGGCGGGTGTGGCGTGTTTTCACGGGTAAATACTTGTCCGAAATGCTTGAACTATCAAGATTTTGGGCTTTCATTTGTGTTCTTCTGGTTTCAAGAGGAGTATACAGTTATGTTGAGGTACGTCGACATGTATTTTGCATGTTTAAATTGCATTAATATTGGTAGCCATGCTTTTTTACCCTTGTCAAGTCAAGGCCAGCCATTGATTTTTGTCCTACCAGCTTTTCGTTTGTTATATCGAAGTTGAAGTGCAGGAAATTAATTTTTGTTCCTGGCACACCATTGATTTTCTTTTCCTTGGTAAATGTAAGTCGATAGTTGACCTAAATACAGAGACAGTTCTGAATAAAAGTTGTGGAACGTGACAGGTTTTTATTGCGGAAATTTAAAACGTGTGAAAACTGCCGCGGGGAGAAATCTTGCTTGATTTTTTAAAACTTGTGTTCAAATTACGGTGTAATTAGCAAAATAGCGACACATCCCTTATGATGATTTGTAGGGACCACCGGATTATTTTTGCTCACATTTTACATTGTATCTTTTACGATGTTTGTGGCATGATATGATATTACTAATAAGAGTTCTTGCTACGGTTAAAATGGTATATTGGCTTCAAGGGTGGAAATAAAAATTATTTCCTAAAACTACGTAGTAAGTAAAGTTGTTATATGTTCGTGAATTTGTACCTACTTTTATTGTTGAAAACTATAATTATGAAATCTTAAAAGGGACCGGAAATAGCATCCACCAAATGAAACACTCTGAAATTAAGTAGACGGCGCCTTACCTCCATTTTCAGCCCCGATTAGCTTTATTCCTAGGGTGTCTCCATCCTAAATTATATAAGCATTACTTTGGGAATTGTAAAGTCAGTTTGAACCAGCGTGATTAAGCAACCCGTTGAGTATCATATGCAGTGTAATCGAACTGCCAGTATTCAGACGATGTAACGCTCGATGATATGATAGATGAAAGACGAATGGAGACGGTGGTGGCTTGTTCTGTATACCGCCAAGGTATTTGTTAGGAGGAGCCGAGGAAAACCGTGAACAATATCTGAGGATAGCAGCCGGCCGAGATTTGAACCAAGCACCTCGCGAATACATGTCTAGAGCGTTGCTTATACACCAGCATACTCGCTGAATGTGGTGTTCATGCACGAGCTAGTTCACTGGTCGATAGTGTTTGGATTGGTTGTTGTCCCTGTGGAATATGTTTCTTTAGAATGATTAGTTACTCCCACAGAAAGGGAGCTGAAGGATGGAGCCTGTCGTACACAGCGATACCCGCTAGTCTCGAAGGAATCTTTTGTCAGATCATGAGCGTAAATGAAGTCCTTTTCGGATGTTCGGTAGTGAGGCATATCTTGTTTCCTCATGCCAGGCGATTACTTTCCTCTCCTGAACTGGGTGGGGCAGAGTTATTAATTTGAAGTAGCTTGCGGGAGGAGTCGTTTGTTTGTAATAAATGTGTGTGTGGGGGAGTAACTTTCTCCTGCCTGATATTACTTCCGTTTGTTCGTGGACCCATCTTCCCCCAAAGCTCAGCCACCTAGCATTGATAACATGCCTTTAGATAACGCGGTAGCGTAGTTCTGTGAGGCACTGTGCCACAAGCCGGAAGGTGGCGGGTTCAATTCCCCTTGAGGTGGATTGTTTTTTTCGACTTACCTAGTCTATCCAGCCGCACTATGGCCCTGGGGTCGACTGAGCCTCTTAACAGACCTGAGTACCAGGAATCTTTCCAAGGGGTAAAAGGCGGCCGGTGCGTAAGGCTAACAGCCTTACCGCCATCTGTGAGCCGATTGCCTGGAAAATGTGGAAGCCTCGACGTCTCACAGCCCTGTGGGCCTTCACGGCCTCTTACAGGAATAGGTTTTTACGCCTTTAGATAAGGGTGGTCGTGGAATCAGAGCCAGCGTTAGGAGAAATTTGTTCGTTTTAAATGCCCGTTTCGTACAGTTTAAATGGACATATACTCCAATACAGCAGGGATGGCCAAACACACAGAACATCAGAGCCTCATATGATGATTTTCAGAAGTGGACGCTATGAGTTTGGGAGTTGCAACTCACCAGCGTAGTGACATTCCTCCCCCGTCTTAAGGGCAGAAGGTGGAGGGCGCAGGTTCTTCCGAAACGTCGATACTATATTTGTATGTTTCACGGGTGATATTCGTAGTCAAGAGCTTCACGTTCCCAAAACCAGCCTGCAGGAACGGAATGCGAAATAATAAGATTGTTTGCCATTGGAGGGTTGGGACGGAAAACCTAGAGACAGTTTGTAAGAACAGTCCTGCCAACCCATGGTTTCACAGATTTCCTGTCGCTACCATCCAGCGTCCTATCCAGTGGATACCGGGGGGGTCTTTCCCCGGGGGTAAAAGCGGCAGGGGCGTGAAGCTGACCACCTACTTCCAACTAATGCCGGGGTCAAGAAAATGTGGATCAATACACCCACTCCCACATACTCCTTCACGACGTAGTGCGTAATTAGTTAAGCGCAGGGGAAACTTTAACTTTACTTACCTTTACCTTCCAGAGGACCCCTACATACTCTAAGGATGGTCGCCGAGTTATAAGAAACTAAGTTTTGTGTACTAACAGTCTTGATAGATCAAGAAGACCTGGCCCTTGGAATATGCAGCTGCAGCCAACGAAACACATCGCGAACATGTGACTGTACCTGATCATTTTATAGCTTTCTATAGGTGTAGAGAGGCTGTAAAGCCATTTAGATTCCTGCTGTAACCCTACAGCTTGAGAGAAACCTGTAACATTGTGCAGAACTGCACTTTTCGTGGCTGTACAGTAACACTTTATAGCTTGCTGTAGATGTAGAGAGGCTGTGAAGCTATTTAGGTTCCCGCTGTCACCGTACAGCCTAATAGGAGCCTACAACAGTGTGCAGAACTGTACTTTCCGCTGACAGGCAGAGTTGGGGTTTGGGAGTTGCGTAAATGTGTGTATTCTTTTTTGGGATCTCGGTTATCACGAAGTTTAAGATCTGGTGAGTTAAGCCATTAATGTTGGGCCGTAACACAGACTCCGACTTGTGGCTGTACAAATATGATCGGCTCTGATGACAGAGAACATAACATTGAGGTAGACGAAAATGGTATTTCACAGCACAGTGGTGTGCTTTGTGTTAGGAAGAGCCGTGTTTATACTCTTCGGCTTTCAAGGCTAGCTGGTACATTTAAGTATGTTTACTCGAACGTTCGGGATGTGGTGTGGTGGTGTTTATATTTCTCTTCATGAAATGAAATCGTGCGTATCTTTCTTTCAGACGACTTGAGGAAATGTCTCCTGCAATTCCTCGAGTTATAGTTATCAGGAGTAATTTTATGATACTGAGAAGCCGGGTAGAATAAAGATTCGCCGCATATCTGTAGGGTTATGAAATACCTTTGCCCGGGTGGTGCTGGAGGGGGGTATTGTTCACCACTGTCAACCAGAAACCAAGGGGGGGAGCATGCAGTGGGAGCATCCGTCATCTCCTGTTGCAAAGAAATTCAAGATGCAACCATTGTCAGGCAAGTTGATGCTGACCATCTTCTGGGATTCTCAAGTACCTACGTGGAACGACTGTCACAAGTGCATCCTATAATGACATGCTTCAGAGAGGGCTGAAGCCCTGTCAGAGGACGTCCTGCTGTTGAATGACAATGCCCGTCTCCATACTGCGGTCCGCACGTTGGACACCCACAGGAAATTGAAGTGGGAAGTCATGGAAGTCAGTGCAGGTTTGGCGTCATTCGATTTTCACCTTTTTTTGACAGCTTGAGGAAGCTCTGGGAAGGAGAAGATTTCGATGAGATGAGGGCCTAAAGAACGCGGTGCATCAGTGGCTACGCCCGCAGCCGAAGGCTTTCTATTTTTTTGCTCCATGGCCATTAGTCCACAAGCGAAGTATATCGACCGAGCGACTGCCGCTTGTCGGCGTAGTGCCAGCTTTTGCGGATAGAGGGTGTCACGTGGTCAGTTCAACGGGTTCCAACGACCGTTAATTTCGGTTTTCTAGACCGAAGAAGACTTTTTATTATGATGGCATTAAGAAGCTGGTAGGACGCTGGGGAAATTTGTGTTGAAAAGAAGGGTGATTGTATAGAAAAATGTGTTTTGTTTTTGTAATCATAAATAAAATGGAGTTGTAAAATAAAAAGTGCGGAAACTTTTTTAAGATCCTGCGTGTATATATAGGTTTGTGGGGTGGGGTGGGTCGTAGGCCACTTTGGTACGTCGGCCACTAGTGGGGCTATTGTACTAGCCCGGGATTGTAGATGAGTGTGGATGGAATGAGACTTGGCAGGGGAAACCGAAGTACTCGCAGGAAGTCTGCCCCAGTGCCACTTTGTCCATATGACTTGACCTGGGATCGAACCCGAGAAGCCGCGCCTCCTATATCTGACGTCCGTAACATTCCATCCGTCGAGCTGTAGAAATCTCACAACGGTGCCTATGGAGATGAATGTGAGGCCGCGTAGTCTGGTAGAATTTTATCGACGTTTCGGAGGAAATTTTTTCCTCAGTGCAAGATTACACGGCACCTCATCCAGTAAAATAGTATTCAACGTTCCTTCTGTCATTCTGAGCTCTATGGGTAATTTTTTTGGTTTTCGCTGTTCAAACAACGCGTTTAATAGGTATACGAGTATAAACCGGATGTGAATTCATTTGTTTACTTCATACAAATTGGAATGTTTGTTATGTTTTATGTTGAAGCTTTGTGGCATATACATTGCTGTAATTTTATACCGTTTAAAAATGGAGGATGATATTGACCTGCCCATAATGAAATTTCCGCTTGAAGCGATAAACGTTAACACATGTTGCGAGAATTAAAATTGTGGTACTGATTTGATGTGACGGGATGCACTGGGAGTTTGTTTCATTTCTCTGTTGTGTGCTTGTTTTATTTCTATGGGTGGATTTTTTTTTACTGTCACACCAGTATGTGGCAGGAAAACCATCTATATATGATCTGCTTTCGTGCACCACAATTGATTTCAAGAGATCGCTTTGTCAATTATTACTGCAATTCATTTTCAGTTTTGAGGTATAGCAAACCCTCGAAAGTGGCGCGTTGGTGAATCCGTGTTGGATGAACTTTATATTG